GGGTCAACGGTGGCAATGTGTTTGGAAATACCGTGGGGTCTCTTACACGTTCTCGAACAGCTCTTATCCTGCATAGGTCTTTTATATCTTGCAGCTGCAAGGCACAACGCACAAGCTTAAATGCTAACTGCAGATTCTGGCCAAGCCGTGAGATAGAATCAGATGGATCCAAACAAGGTACCCGGATGTAAAACTGAAACGTTCTCAGCTGACTAAGTAAAGCAAGCAAGGACGGAGCTTACCTAATCACAACTAGGTGAAAAGAACTGTCTTAACAAAGAGTTAACTTTAAGCATTACTTTGAAATAAAAAGCTTGACTCTACAAAAAGAAAGTGGTTTGCTGAGAACAAGTTTTAAGACACAAGCTTTGGCTAATTCTGTCGGCCTCCTGGCTGATTTGTTTCTCGCTTGCGTCACTGACAGCTTAGCTCACTTGGGGTAGTCTGGAATATTCATTTTGGAATATTATAAACATACGAATATTGGGATGTAAGCGTTTGTTTAGTGACTTTTTTTAATTTTTGATCAGTTGAAATATATTAGATCATTTGTTCTGTTTCCGGAGGCAGAATACATGAAATGCCAATAAATCCCATGCCAATAAATTCGAAAGTTCTAACCTTTTGATAGATGTAAAACAAGAAAGAACATCACAATGAACTTGAAAACCACCACTGACTTCATCTTCAACCTTAAAAAGACCAAGTTAAAATTAGACAAAAACTATCTACATCTTTCTGCTGACTTTCAGTTACGATCCAGGTTGAATAATCGTGTTAACAAATTAACAGTAGATGACATTAGAAAAAAACACGCAAATACTAAGTAAGACGGTACTCTTGTAACTTACGTTGGACGATTACACTTTGTTTCCTGACTTTTAGAGTGAAAACGTACTAAGCGAATCAGCACTCTAACCTTACTGAACGTGCACAAGAATATGACTCTATTCTAGCTCCACAAGGAACTTTTTCTACGTGACATAACTGTTTACAGGTCTTGCACAGTTAATGCTTGGCTAGGTTCGTGTCTTGTCACGCTGCCTGCTGCAAGACAAACAACTTAACGAAGAGAGCAGAGTGAAGAGAGCAGTATGTTAGGGAAACGTCGTTTATTTATTAAACATCTTCAAATGAAAACTCTTTCCTAGTAAATCAAAGTGCACTCAATCAAATAACAACGAAATTGTAGAAAAAAAATATATTCTTCCTGTTCCAAACGGTTCGATTTATTTGTGTCAAAAACAAAAGTTGGTGTTCGATTTGAGTGTTTCCTGATCGTAACCCTTATAAATTTGGAGTAAGTGTGACATATGCAGGTAGTTGCCCTCTGGGCAGGTCAATAAGACTTCACCTTTGGTTAACAGAAGAATGGACACCAGACTAAGCAAGTCGTCAGTTAGAAGTTTCTAAGAACTGAACTGAAATGAAAATCACTGTCGAGAAAATAAGCACGAACAGCACTGTGTATCAAGTAGTTTATTCAAATTAAATCTCAACTCTCTACTTATAACGGTTATCAGGCTGGTGTGTCCTTAATTATGAGATATTTTTACGATTTTATTTCTCTGTTTACTTTCTGTTTGTTTCTTTTTTCTCGGTTTAAAAATACTTTGCCGCGTATCTTATTTTTAGCTCTCTTCTCTGTGCTTAGAAGTGTCATGAAGCATTTTTTTTCCGCTCTCAAACTATTGTATTACAAAAAAAACTTCTTATTCCAGTGTCTAGAAAGCAATTTTTGGCTAGAAATGTTTCCTAGAAACTGAACAAGCTAAATTTAGAGCTTACATCATCAAGAAAACATACGACATAGAACCTGAATGCAGGTCCTTTGAAATATTTCTGCCAGCTTCGTTTTGGAGGTTGAAGTTTCACCATTAACTGTTTCCTCCTTGACGTATCATTAAATATTAAGTGTCTGGGTGGTTTAATGTTTCGCAGTCACCTTATAATTGGTATTTTCTGTGAACCGGCATTAGCCTGTAGGAGCTTAGCAGACACTGAGGAACACTTCTTCAACGAAGACCACAAAACAAATCTTGAGTTATCCGTTTTCTTGAGTAAGGTACGTTCGAATTTGATTCTTTCACATGCTGATTTCGTCTTGTTAAGTTATTTTCGTTTTCACTATATTTTTAAACCTTTCATCAAATCAAATAAATGCGATATTTATCGGTTGGGAATGCCAATATTTAAACTAAACCACAAAATCGGGTAGATCAGACTCAGTTTCGGGTCAGCTCATATATCAACGGGCAGTAATTGTTAATTCTACAAGTATTTATTTCGTGAGAGAAATCACGCGATAAAAGATACTATTATTTAAAAGCACGGTAAACTTTTAAGAAACCTTAAATAAGGACAGCACCATATTTGAAATGATAAAAAAACTTGCTTAACTGGGAAATTTTATCTCGAAAGTACTCGAAATCTATTTCCTTGTAAAGCGTTTCAGTGGCAATTTTTGAAAAGCAACTGAAAGATTTCAAGAGAGAGACTCGATGTCACAGAATTGAAAGTACAAAATATCCTGAGGATCTGCCATCGGCGATCTCAACCACAATCATGATCACGACTTCGGCCATTTGAGATCTCCAAACTTGGTATACCAAAAAGTAATTCAGTGCAAATAGAACACTGGTATCCACAAATGGAAGCTGCCTGTATTTCAGTCGTGACCAACAAAAACATTGTTCTCAAGATATATTCTTATAAAGTTTTTCATTAATTAGCACTAGGTAATATCTTTCTAGTTATATAGAATAGATAATTGTAGAAGTTTTCGGACTTCTGGCCAAGTGCTCTTATCATTGAAATTAATTTTTCCATTTCTTATTTTCAATACGTTCAAAACTTCTCGTGACCACTTTTCTTTCAGACAAACTGCAATGATTTCCCCGTTATGTCAGAGCAGTACTTATTTTTTTCAAGTCGTTCCCTGAAGGAATCAAATCTTGTTTATTCAATACTTTTCCCATTGAGAATAATGAAAAGTCCGCACTGTGAACATTTCTGATCATCAGGTCGATTATCATTTGTTGAAACAATAATTCGATTAAAAAAAAAAACTACCTTTGTCGCCCTTCTTTGATCAGCTTAAACCTCATGTGTGTCAGTAGTAAGATATAAAACAAACCATTTCTTTAAAACAAGTCGAACACGTTATTATCATTAAAATATATAGTTATATTTCTTGATCAAGAAATATAATTTGAAACTGAACCATTTTTTGACGAATGTGTCACGTGGCAACAAATCCAGGCCTCTTACATAGATCTTCCCACGAGCTTTCAAACTCTTCTTGGTTTAGTTTGTCAACTTACAATGAGTGTTAAATTTCTCGCACGCTGATTGGCTTACCCTTATCATGAATGATGACGCCATCACTTGCCTTATTTGATAAATGCCGTCAACTTTTTTCCAGTATGTTATCAATTAGAGAGCAGACGCATAATAAGCTGGCAACAATTTTTTAAGTACAGTGAGAAAATGGATCTAATAGATTTCTTGTTCAATTTTCTTATTTTACTTATGAAGTTTAATCATTTTAGACCAGCCGCTTCGTTATCGAAATATCATTACCCTGTAAACAAGCATATATAATGAAAATGTCTTGTCAGAGCAATTCATACCAGTAAAGCAATATTTTACTGCTGTTAAAGCTGTGCTACTTGCAGACATCTGTATCTTGTTAAACTAGCGATATTTTAATTTGATTAGTTCTACAATCACGTCATTAACTACCTGTCATGTTCTCTTTACACAGGACAGAGATGAAGATTGTCTTCACCGTTTTTGTGGGATGGGCAATGTTTCTAATGGGCTTGCACTTCGGTAACTTTCCTTTTTATATTTTATGCATCTTACAAAAAAACGACATCAAACAAAACATGGCGGAGAAAAATTCAGACTACAACACAAACTCCAAATTGTTTTCTTACTAATTTTACATTTGTTTTCAATTTGAAGCATTTCTTCTTTAAATTTTTATTTGTGGAATAACATGGCTCTGGAATAATGAAAAATATTGGATCATGGAAATTGTTTGCGCTTTTAATTAGCGTTCTGGGCCTACAACTAGTAAGTAAGTAAGTAACCTTTATTTAAACACGATTAGTAATTAAGCTTGCAGCTTGTGGGCTTGTGTGTAAATAAACAATAAAGAATAATTACAAAATAAGAATTAAAAAATATATTTTGTAACGTTTCGCTAATTACACTGGAGTGGGTGATTAGAGTATAAATTTACAATGTAAGATGTAATCTAGTTTAAATAACAATTTGCAGCTAATAATAATTTACCTAATTATTAACATTATGTGACTAATAAACGTATACCAATGGGCAGTCGAGTCATCTTCTGCAGTATATATTCGCAAAGCTAATGTCCCTGACCAAAGTAAGATTATTGATCATCTTAGAGAAGCTGTTTACAGTGTTTGCCATTTGGCATCCAATCGGTAAAAAATTCCACAGAATTGTACCTCTGTAAGATACGGAGGATTTCTTGATATTTGATTTAAAATGAGGGATTTCCAGCTTAAGCCTGTTTCTTAGATTATAGGAGGNTAAACACGATAAGCAATTAAGCTTGCAGTTTGTGGGGTCGTGTGTAAATTAACAACAGAGAATAATTACATAATAAGAATTGAAAAAATTTACAATGTAAGATCTAATCTAGTTTAAATAAAACTTTGCAGCTAATAATAATTTACCTAATTATTAACATTATGTGACTAATAAACGTATACCAATGGGCAGTCGAGTCATCTTCTGCAGTATATATTCGCAAAGCTAATGTCCCTGACCAAAGTAAGATTATTGATCATCTTAGAGAAGCTGTTTACACTGTTCGCCATTCGACATCCAATCGGTAAAAAATTCCACAGAATTGTACCTCTGTAAGATACGGAGGATTTCTTGATATAAAAAGTAAGTGTTGGTTTTTCTTGCGTGTAAAAGCAATAGAAAAATTTACTAACTTTTTTTCTGATCCAAAGGCTTTTAAAGACACGAAGCTACCTAACGGAGGGATCAATATCTTCGCTGCGGTTTTGCATACGCATCTGGCAGGTAATTAAAACAATAAACTTACAATAAAAATATGAACTACTGGATGACTAGCAAAGTACAGAGAACTTCCAGGGCCAAGATCACAACAAACACTTAAGTACTGCATCGAAACTTAAAAAAAAATCATTTGAACAGTTAAATACATTACCTATCTACAAGCCTGCCTGGTGCATACGACTGCACTCATTATACATAGCTAACTATCTGATTTGCTTTTTCTCATTTCCAAGGCCGAAAAACCTGGCTTCGTCACGTTAGAGATGGTGTGGAACTTCCTGAAATAGTCAGAGATGACCATTATGACTTCAACTTTCAGGAATATCACTTACTGAGGAACGAGGTTCACGTAAAGCCGGTAAGAATTAAGTTTCCCTTCTACAAAATTTCTGCCAGTACTGCTACGTATTTGTACATTCAGCCACTTTGAATAAAGCACTGATTAAAAATAACTCAGTCACGGTATTTTGGCCTTCGATTAAAATTGAAAAAAAAAAAAAAAAAAAAAACCCTGAAAATAGTAGTTTATTGAGATTGAAAAACACCAAAGAGATAGTAATGCAACGTAATGGGAAAAGGATTGTTAAGGGTTGAGAAGATTCAACGAATTTAAAAAAAAAACAAAAAAATGACTAAAATTGTCAAGATACGCAAACCGTGGGGTAACTCCTTTAAGGTTAAGCCTGTCAACACTATTTCGCTGCAGCTAATGGGACAAGCTGCAGACAATTCAGGCAAAGCGAACTTGACTACTCTTGTTATTTCGTTTGTTTTATTTTTCTTGATGAGTTATCTTAACGCTTAACTTATTTAACATTTGTCCTCTAATGGATTTGTTCTGTTTCGTGGGTATTAATTATATTATTTTTTCGATCACAGGGTGATACAATAATAAATGTCTGTATCTATAATACGGAGGATCGAGAAACAGCGACAGTGGTAAGCATCCCCTTCCCCACCCGGAGGGGGATAATCCCTTCTGTAAGGGCTATATAAGTATGCGCGGCCCCAAAGGGTATGGGTTTTCTGAAAACAGTATAGATTTTGACAATTTTGGTCTGGGATAGGATATGGTTTTCACTCTGTCTTGACACTGGGTATTTTGTTTGAAAGGAACTATTTGTTTTTCTGATCAATATTGGAAAGCTTGTAACCCTTCTCAAATGAAAACGCAAATGCAAGCTGTTTCTGTACTACTAATTTTAAAGGTCTGAAATGGGGTATCGATTTGTCTCTAAGGTCTGAAACAGGGCATGAAAAATTCCAGATTTTGGTGTGAAATAGGGTACAGTTTTCAAGGTTTGGGCCTCAAACCTCCCCTCAAAAAAACTTTGGGGACTACCCCCTGTACCCTCCCTCTCTCTCCCCCACGAGAGTGGTAAGTCACAACAGAATCACAAGCTAAAGTTGAGCGCGATTTAAACAAACAGTTGCAGATAATCGTCCAACAAAATCAACGACACCGAAATCGAACTCTTTCGTTGCCACTAGCAGCCTATACTCCCTCCTTACTATCTTTTACTGAAACGATTGGGCAGTTTTACGGAATTGTGGTAGTAAAAAAATTGTTAAAATGAAACTCAAAAAATGTTCCTAGAACAGCGAGAGAGACGAAATAAGGTAAAGCAACAATTTTCGTTCACTTAATTTTAGCGGTCAGCTTAGCACACATGCTTCACTCACATCTAGGGACAAATGTTTTAACAGACGTTTGAAGAACCGGTTGGTATTCTGTGTTTTGAAGAAACCCATAAACTGCCTATCACAGACTATCTTTTCTTTTCTTGGTTTTCAATTAAGGGAGCTCTTGCAACGACTGATGAGATGTGCCTGTCATTCATCCTGTATTATCCCAAAGTCAACGTAACAGACTGTAGGTCGAGAGAAAAACCAGCCTATAATGCCTGGTTTAAAAAATATTACAAGTAAGTTTCTTTACAGTGTTGCTTCAGTGAAAATGCAAGTAATGGCTACAACGCATGTTTATCCCGGCCGCCCCTTCGTCCAAATATTTCTTCCATCAATGGTTTGCAACAACACAGCAAACCTTACTCACTCATACATTTATAGGTTTACCAAAAAAAAGTAAATATATAAATAAAAGGACAGAAAAATAATGTACATTTGAGTCTGGAGACTGAAGTAACCTGAAAATTTTGTAGCCAGTCTCCAGTTATTGTAGGGTTTCTGTAGATATTGAGAGAATACATATACGGAATGCTTAAGGTAAGCCGATATGTACTTGGTACAATAGAATGGAGAAAATCAATACAAGTTTTCAAAATGTTGTTCAAACAGTAAAGAAAATTTTAGTTGTTTAGAGAAGTTAAAGGCATTGAGATCTTTAAGGCCTAGGGCAAACGTCGAATCCAGGTCGTGTCGAGTAAATTAATAATAGGTGCGACAAAGAGTCGACTTAACTCCAGCGTGGTAGCAAACGTCAAACCTGCGTCGATCCTACTTCACAAGTTGCACTTCATTAAAACACGGGAATAAGCACGTGTCCCCGTGCTATTCACTCGATGCGCGACTAGTTATACTGTTAGGACTTGCTAGCGAATATGTCGATACTCGTCTCTTCAGACAACGGNTGTTGACCGCATCCTTGTAGAGCTTAAATCTCCCGCTCACTTTACTCCTGATATCGTTATTGATGAAAAATTGTGTGGAAAATTGTTAAGATTGCATTATCATTCAGACACCTTTTAAACTATTTACTGTGACATTTTTCTACATGATCATATAATTCAATTAATTAATTTTCTCGTCCATTTTTTTGATTCTTTAACAGTTGTTAAAAATATTGCGTAGTCTTGATTTATCTCTTATTTCAGGATAAGAGCATTTGGATAATAGCGTTTTAAAATTTTTAATATAAAAATGTCTTTTACCAGGTGGAGCATCATCTACCAAATATAATCGACTAAAGGAAACAAGTCTAGGAGAGGGTAAGCTGAGTTTTTTCGTGAACCACATGTTACTATTATGGACTTTTTATGGTGCTCCTCCAATCAGGAACACGTATTTTGATTGATGACATAATGCCTTGTCAAAATGTTTCCCCTAAATCATGACGCGAAGAGTCTTATGGGCGGGCAGGATCTTAATTTTGCAGCGTGACTGAATTAATATCATCATGAACAAAATCTCGATTTAACTCGTAAATTGCTATATTAGATAAATGAGAAACATTATTTTGTTTGTTTCTAGTAGACGACCTTTCGAGGTGTGAGAAACAAGAATATTGATTTTGCTTGTTTTTCGCTGACCGCAATAAAGAAAGCTGCCATCTAACGGGGGCCACGCTTTGTAATGATATTCACGAAAGGTTGGAAGTTTTTCAACAATGTATTTTTCAGAGGCAAAAGGAGAGAAGAGGGCGTGTCCAGGTGTACCTGACAATGCAAGGACAAATCTGTTGGAACAATTGATAAAAGATGTGACAGGCAGACCTAACGTTTGTAATCTTTTCACTTACGGCTGTTGGTGTGGTCCACGTGGACATGGAAGATACGTGGACAACTTTGATTAGTAAGTTTGACCTTGCTTTATACCATGGAAGTCAAGAAGCAACGGTGCTATAGGACTGAAAATTACTTTCTTTCATAGGCCGTATTATTTCAAGGTAATAGCAAGTTGGATCGCAGCTTTTAGTGTATACGTAAAAAATCCGGTGCGATTAGAGAGGAATACTGGCGGCAAGTAAACCAAATTATTATCACCACACTGCCAGATTTTAGGGAAATTTTAGGAAGCAAGTACAAGAAAATTTAATGTTAGTATTGCTTTCTGCGGTCATCCTTACGTCATAAATTATGAAAGAACGAAAATTTTTCTTCGAGCAGGCATAAATTACAAAAGCCTCTGGGCGTCATCAAAGTTGTCACGAATTGGAAACTTTTGCCAATTATAATACCAGCATCAGCTTCACGGTTTTTGTTTTTCTTTTAATTACTCACTTACCGTATATTTCTTTTTATCATTGATGTCTTCTCCTTCTCTTTCCTTCCATTTCTTTCCTTTTTTCTTGCTTACTTCTTCTTTTACGTGTAAATATAATGTACTTCAATCAGTCAACAACTTTATTCATGTGCCGTCACTACTAGCCGACTGGCCCTACAGGGAGCCTATTGACTGCGAACACTTTTAAATACTTAAGAGCAAATTCCCACAAAAATCAAACAAAATCAAATTTCTGCGGCAAGGCTAGAAAATTCAAATTCACTCGTCTTTTGCATAAAGCTAGCCCCTAGCAAGAGTGCAAACAAGCTGTAGTTTTTTCTTTGAAATAGCTTTGTCTTTCCGAGAAAAACGACATTTTCGATTTAACCTTCAGACTCAATTTCATGTAAGTTGGCGAGCCCCAACTGGGCTGAAAATCGGCTGAAAATCGACCATCTTCATTTGATTCGCATTTCGAACCATTGAGCGCAGAAAAGTTGTGATACAAACAACTTATTGCAGAACTATTCCTTGTCTAAGAAAGGACAATTTCAAGAATATTGGATTAATCTCAGTATTTGACGGTAAACAAAACCAGAATGTTTTCCAAAATTGAGTTAGTCAGTCGGTGAAAAGAATTGTCATTTTGACCATGTGTCATGTCTCGGAATTCCACAAGATTTTAGATTCTAACTATGCAAGGATAGGTCTTTCAATATATGTAAAGTTTAGTTTGGGCAAATTATTAGGTACTCGTCAAAAAATTATTCAAAATCGTTCACAAAAGACACAAAATCACGCCAGCAGCTACCGAGTGCGTGACCAAAAGTATCATCAGCATATCGGCATTTAATACTTCAGTTCGAAACGTCAGCATGACCAAGCAGTATAAATGACATACACATAAAAATAACATGTTCAGCTACTTCGGTTTGTAGTATCCTGAATCTTGCAAACTGATTCTTTCCATGCATTTGTCAGTACTCATATCCGACTTCGAGAAGAAAAACAATTACTGTCACAAGTCCCATGAATGTGCTATTGGATGTATCAGTCTATCTGTGTCATTTGTGTCGTTTGATTAAGCCAGTAGTAACTGCTAAAGCGTTTTTCCACGTGTGACCTTCGGGTTCCCATTTTGAAGACGTTTGAAAGGCCTCCATTTTGACTGAAGATGTCTATCCGAGACCGGTGCGTTACAACATATTTTTCGTGGGGGTGAGGGTCGGGATTTCAGAGCTTTAAACAGAGTTACTTTTCTTTGTTTAAATTTTAAGCCACAAAAACCTTGTTATTGTGTAGAATTTTATCGCTTTACCTAGGAAAGGAGGCCCTGAGTTAGAACTAACATCGAGATATTGGAACAATTCTAACGCTTTTTCTTTCGGAAATAATTCCCACTCTACCACTACCCCGTGTGCAAAGACTTTTGCTGGACAATATGCAAATAAGAGACGCGGAGCGATCGAAGACGGCGGCTTATTTGTTATTGCTAATTACTGTCGATTTCTGCCTGAAAGCAGGTTAAATGATTGTACCGAACAACAAAACGGAAAACGTAGGAACATTTACATAAAAACTTGGTAATATTGAGCGATTTGGGGAATTCAAATTCACCAGACAAATACGTACAGGCCGATGCAAAGCTGATGGAACAACGTTGAAATGGCGGGATGGGAATGTTGTTTGATAGTCAAAACATGACAACCCAGCTAAGGTAAACATATTTATATTGTTTTATGCTTAAGTCGTGCTGATATTCCTGTGATATTTCGAATTGAAGTGATTTAATGACAAAAACAAT